GTCTGCTCCTTGGGAAGTTGGTGATCGGGAGGGGGGAGAGGAGCCAGCCCTGGGCACAGCTGTCCCTCCCTGCCTGTTCCTGTCCCAGCAATGGTTATGGATGTTCTCCCTCCTTTCCTCCATCATCTTGAGCTTCCTTCAGAGCTCACTGTCAGCTTTTACACTTGTCTGGGTTATCTTGGCTCTTGTGCTGCTGAGAACTGGCTGCTTTTATCAGGCCACCTCTGGCATCCAGCAGCGTCCGATGTTGGGCGGGTTACAGGGTTGTGAGATGGAAGGTCAGGTTTATTCAGGAGATGGTGCAAACTGAGGCTACAAACAGGGAGACTGCACTAAAAATCGTGAAGAGGATTCCAGGAGGAGGGATATGAGCAGTCCCAGATGTTTGCTGGCCAGCAAAGAGCTTCTGCCAGCGAGCTGTGAAATATCAGAGCTGCTGGTCAGTCAGGCTGGGCCGGGAGTGCCCTGGTTGGAAGGGTTGGGTTGGAAAGGCAGGACACAGAGCAGCTAAAAAAGCTTGGAGTCAGGCACACAGTGCTGTGAGTGCAGCAGGGAGAGTGTGTTCCCTTTCCTGTGGTTAAGCTCTGTTCCTGTAAAGGTCCATGTCTTGCTGCCCCCTGGGAGCCCAGAGCAGAGACCCAGCAGGGTTGGGCAGAGGCTGCTGAGGAGCGTGTGGGGGTCTGTAAACAGAGTGTTGACCTGCCAACAGGAAGGTGTTGGCTTCCCAGTGTTGACACAAGCTTGTCCGAGAGGCCCCTCCTAGGGAGGCTGGAGTTGCTCTTGTTCCAGTTGGGGAAGAGAAGCTGCTGGAGGTCAGGAAGTGACCCCTTGGGCTTAGCTTCTGTATGGATGGAGGGGATTCCCTCTGCCCTCCCCTGGCAGCGTGGGGATCAGCACAGCTTCCCCCAGCACATCAGGGGTGCAGCCCCCACACACACACAGCACCTCTGTGGAAGAGAGACCCTGCAGTGACCGGGGCTCTGCATTCCTTCGCCATGACTCCCGTCCCTCGGAGCGCTCCGTGTCCAGCAGGATGGCGTCACGCCACACAAACGCTCTGTGTTTGCCTCTGTGTTTGCTTCCCGGGGCTGGAGGAGAAGGGCTGAGCTAATGGCTCTGCTCTGCAGGGCTGGAGTTATCTTCTGGGAGGAAGGAGGGCCGAGGGAGCACGACCGGCCAGGAAACGTCCGCGTAAACTTCCTCCCCTCAATTCCCATCCTTGCTCCGAGTGTGGCTCCCGGGAGAGAGGCCCTGGCTGTGCTGACCTGCCCAGGGAGCAGGCTGCAGCCCCAAGGGGTTTCCATAGCCTCTCACCGTGCCTGAGAGGAACTTCTGCAGAAGGGTCTTTGCTCTTGGAGGGGTCACTGGGTCTGAGAGAGGTCCTTCCTGTGGGACCACACTGGCCCAAAACTGCCCTGCAATGCCTCTCCCTGCTCCAGTGCCTCTGGATGCTGTGGGGTCAGTGACTCCTCTGCCTGGTTTGGTTCCTCGAGCGCCCAAGTCCTTGCAGCCCTCATTCCCTTCCTTCACTTGCCTTGGTGGTCCTCGGAGTGCAATCACCTGCTTTTCCATGTCATAAGTATCTCCATGGAATTAAGCCAAATCGTGGACCTCTTTATTCTGGGGTTGAGTTGGGAAGGGGTAGGTGAGGAGGAGGAGGGAGCTGGGTGAGGGACAGCCCAGCCTGTCTCTGACTGCCACGTGTGCCCATACCCACTGCTCTGGGGAGCTCACAGATGAGCTCCAAATGTGGAACAATCAAAGGGGTTTCAGTCCGAGGCACTCAGCCCCTGCTTCCCCACCAAGATAAGAAACAACAAGAAACCTTTTAAAACATTTCATGTTTTCAGCCGTTTCGTACAGTTCCCTTCTCTCTCTCCCACGTTGCTCCTAGTTCCTGTGGCACCAGAATAGATCCTCTTTGTGGAAAGGCTCTTCCTCTGCGCTGTTGTTTCTGGAAGGTGCCAGAACAGCCTCCCAGTCACAAAATGCATTTGTGCCGGGGCTGCAGATTGTGTGAGGGGAGGAAGTGGAGCAGCTCCAGCCCAGGGCAGCAGTGCAGGACCTGCTGAGTCGGCGCTTGGCCCCGGGGGGTGGCAGGATATCTGCTCTTTGTGCACCCACAGCCCAGGCAAGCAGCACATTTTGCTTCTGTTTCCTCTGTAGTGGCTCTAAGGTCAGGCCTCTGCTCCCTGGCCATGCTGCTCACCCCTGATCCAGAGCTGCTCCACGTCCCGCCAGCCTTTTCCTTCCGAAGGCGTCCGGCTGTCGGCTGGGTGTGCTGAGAACAGGCTCTCTGGGGTCTCCAGGGCCCAGCTCTGACCACATTGGCCTGTGTTTCTGGGAGGTCTCCCTCAGTACAAGGAGGATGAGGACAACACCAGCCTTTCCTCCCCTCCTGGACTTGCCAACGTTTTCATTTCTCTTTCAGTTTCACCTCTCCCCTTGATTTCCAGTTCTCTCCCTCTGGCAGCTTCCAGTGGTAGCAGTGCTCCCTGTGGCCATTCTTGGTTTTCCCCACACTGGGGAGCATCTTTTTGTTGTGCTTTCTGTGAGCTGGGATGTAAGTGCTGCGGGGTGAGGCTTTAGGGGGAGGAGGATGAGTCATGGAATCATGGAATGGTTTGGACTGTAGAGACCTTAAACTCTATCCAGTTCCACCCCCTGCCATGGGCAGGGACACCTTCCACTAGACCAGGTTGCTCCAAGCCCTATCCAATGCTTCCTATGACTCATGTGGAATTAGATCCTTGTAGATCAATTTATCATCACATAAGAAGCTGCAGAAATTCTTTTTGCTGCTCATCACCTTCTCCTTTTCAAGGCAGAGCAATTCCTAGAGCTCTTCTCTCCACGGGATCCAGATTCCACCCTTCTATTTTTATTCTCTTTGATCCCAGGTTTCTGGAAATCAGGGAGTCACTTCTCAGCAGCTTCTTGAGCCCTGGCCACCAGCACTGTGTGTGGACATCTTACTCTTGCCTTCAAAACTGAGGATTTTAAACAGCTCTTCAGGGCTGTATCCAGGCTGGACACTTCTGTGCTCAGCCAGACCAGATTTCATGGAGTCCTCATGCTGGGAATACCAGGGAATGAGCCTTTGCAGCTGGGCTTGTGTCTGCCACATGCGTTTTCCTATCCCTACATCCTGTCCATTCACTTTTGAGTTCTTCCAGTGCAGGAACACTTTTCCAACAGCTTCCAGCATCCAAAACTCCCATTCCCATGGCTATGCACCCAAACATGAACCTCAGCCAAGAGCTACTGGTTTTCCTGTTCCTCTCTTGAATTTCTTTCCTCTTCCCTCCCTTATTGCCATGTGTCACTGCCCTGAGCTTGGGATTGTTTGGAAACCCCATGGGGAATACTGTATGGATCAGTCCTGTTGGTTTGGCTGTGCTAACTGTCACTCTGGCATGTTGTGTAGATTATCCTGTGGATTGGGCTGGGAATGCTCTTGATCAGCACCTACACCACTCTGTCTGCCACTGAGGACACCCCTGTGAAGACAGAGGCAGTGGACCTGAAGCACCTGGACAGAGAAGAGAACAGAATTGACCAGGATTCAGACAAAATCCCAGGTATGTGCCTGCTGGAGTTGGCTTTCCCAGCCCTGCTCCCAGCTCCACCTCTTATAGAGAAGGAAAACAGCTATTTTTGTAAGTGTGGCGGAAGCAGGGTCATTTCCAGGCATCTTCCCAGCATCCTGGGGCCTTTTCCCAAGGAAAGCTGCAGTTCTGCCTGCTGGAAAAGCCCGTTGTGACCTCCAATGGTACTTTGTGGAGTTGTTCTTTTGGGAAGGGGAAGGTGGGCTGCAGCCCTGGGATCCCCTGGAAGGACAGAGCAGGGATACCTCGTTGGGGTAGTACCTGCAGCTCTGTGAGCGCAGTGACCACGTGGCTGGGAGCCAAACAGTGCTGATCCCACCCTCTCCCAGCCCTGGAACCATCCATCCATCCCCCTCAAAAGTTTGGAAATTGATTGGAATTGCTTTTTTTGTGCTAAGGATATAAATTTGGCCTGGGCTTTTGCTCTGACAAAGCCTGTGATTATGCCTCAGCTTTGTTTACTGGTTCCTGTTATTTATTGTTTGTTTGCTGATGGAGCTGGGGCTGTTCCTCCCCCCCAGCTGCAGCACGAGGCCGCGCCGTGCAGGTGCCGCCTGACCCCGCGCTGCCCCTCGGCCCCGTTCCTGCGCATCACTCTTGTTTCCCTCTGCTCCTGTGGGTTTGTTTTGTTCTTTGGGGGCCTTGAGATATCCTCACGGAGATTGAGAGCGGAAGGGAGAGAGGGGCTGGTTCTGCTGGAGATTATCCTCCCTCCTGGTTCTTGGCCGCATTTCTGCCCGGCAGCTCCCGGTGTCCCTGACGCTGTGCTGCCTCTGACAACATTCACTCCAGGGCTGCTCCGTGCTGGAGTTTACTTGTGGTTTACTCATGGCTTACTCAAGGCCTTCCCAGGCACGTGGATGTTGCTGAACTCTGAGCAAAAGACGCTCCCAGTCCCTTAATGGAGCCCTCAGCAGGGCCGGGAGGCGGGATGCGATTGAATTCTTCCGTCTTGGTTAATTTTGGAGCTGTAATGGCCAAAGAACAGCTGCTCCTTTCAGGAGGAATCGCTAATGACACGTGTTCTGACTGGGAAAATAAAGCATCCCATAAAACACGGTGTCCGCTGGAGTTTGCTGAATCCTCTCCCCCTCGGAGCGGGATGCCAGGCTGGGATCATCCAAGCGATCCCGGAGCCGCGGGATTAGAGAATCCCACCGGGAGGGAGGCGGGTTCACGTAAACTTCGCAGGGAGGAGCCGTGCGGCTCCGAACGCGCTGAGAAGGAAAGCTCAGCTCCTCCCGAGGTCCCTTTGGTGCTGCTGACTCTGCCCCGAGGGTTCCATCCCCCGGGAGAAGGAGGAGGGGGAAGATGAGCAGAGGAACGGGAACAAGGACCCGCAGGGTGGACGCGGGAC